CAGCCGCGCCGCCCAGACGACCAGCGGCAGAGGATGAATGGATCATCCTGGGCGGAGCAGCTTCGGCTGATGAGGACGGTGACTACGTGACAGTGTAACCGTCTTATTTTAGCCACAAAACGTGGCACGGAATGATTGCCTGCGAAACGCAGGTCAATCCAGGAATCGAGAGGCGTAGAAAGTATGCGCATCACTCCTGTGCATCAGACAGGACATAATAAGGCAACTTTGTGCTCTGTCCCGCAGTTGTACACAGCCTAGGCTATCTGGGTACGACCTGGCTTTAAATAGCAATTTTAGCTGGATTCCTCATCGTTCGCACTTTTTTTCGATCCGGACGTCCGCGGCCATTTTTATTTTAATTTTAAACTTATAGCTCGCATTACAGGGGGTCCGTCGAGCCATGGCAATGGAGAAATTAGCATTGGACAAGTTTGAGGAGGCTACTTTGCTCTCTAGTGAGACCACAACGGTAATTGTGGCCTGGGATGACATGACTGATCGATTAGATGACTCTGAAAATGGCCATGCCCTCCTGGCAGCGCTGGGTGTTTCTCAGGCTGAGATAGACACTGTGACCCGCATCCTGCGCAAGGTGCAGAACCGGGCTCATGACTACAAGAACGACCTGAAGGCTGAGCTTCAGACTGGTCGGCAATCGCCGGAACCGCGCAGTTTTGCCATAGATGTCATGTACCAGGAAGCTGAAGCTGCTCACCCAGGACCACGAGTATTTGAAAGCGCTTTGCTGCCGGGCGAAGCGCTGGGCTCGGAGGTGTCGGAGGGCAATGCTTAGCAGGCATGCCAATGCCAGGCTGTCACTGACGTGAGTGACTGAGGCTCGACGAGGTGTTAAAAATTAGGGAGCGAGCGCTGGTTTTTCTTATTATATTTTGATTAATAATTATACCGGTGTCACATGAGCAATCGCAAGCTGGTGGTTTTCGAAGCCATTTTGGCACCAGTGGCAGTCGCACGCTGTCACTCTGTTTAATAAAACAGAGGAGTGACATTTGTCAATCAGAGCCTGCGCAAGTGTCTAGTCCAATGGGTAAACCATCGCTTCTGCCGTTGAAACTGGTGGGCCAGCACGTCCGCTCCTGCCGGTCAAAGTCAGGGCGCTGTGGCCTGTGCCACTGGCACAAAAATAGGCCGGGATGGGTCCAGGGCTTATGTGACCCTAAGTGGGCCAAGGTTACCGTCCAGGGCGGAAAGTTTGCCAGAATTGGGTGCACTTACTGTTGCTTGGCAGAGACAGGTGGCCCGTGGGCTGAGTTCTCCCAGAAACCATTGACTTTGAGGAAATTCCAATTTCAATAGACATGAAGCGTCCGCTGTGCATAAGAAGGCGGCTGAAGCGTTTCAATGTTCAGAGAGAGATGTTTTCGCCCCAGCGGCCAGTGAGTTCAACGACGCCTTGAAGAAAATGGTGAAAGGCGGAAGTTGCAGGGACGGAGGCTGCATGTCCGACAAACGGACGCAGATGCGGTGGTGCCTGTCAGAGGCAACGCTGTCACTGAGCCGTGACAGGCTGCAAAGTGCCGAGGCAATGTCAGTTATGAGGGATGAAAGAAAAGGCAGGCTCCTCCTCAGGTACCGAGCGACGCTGCCAGATCTGTCCATTCACAGTGGTGTGTTTGGATTCATCCCGACTCAGGGGTTTGCTGACTCGATTGGCGAAGCAACTCGGAAATCGATCACTGATTTCTGCACCCCCAAGCTTAACCCACCCAGGCAATTCAAGCAAACCACCTGCCCAGTTGACCAAAAATTGCTCCGAAATGTTCAGGAGAAAACCCAGATTTTGGTCACTGATGCGGCAGGTCCTGAGTTGCTAGCTTCCCGCATTTTGAGCGGGAAGAGACAAGCGGCAAGCGCCGGCTTTCAGGATCCCTTCTTTAAACGGGTCCGAGTGATTGGACGAGACGCGGCGCATGCGTCCACTCGTTTGTTGAAGCGGCCATTCGAGGCACATCCTGAGATTGAGAAGTTGCTGAACGAATTTGTGACCGGGAAGGACAGTTTCGCGCAAAAGGTGCAATATTCCCCGTTGTATCAGCAATGGTGGAAGAAAAGCCTGGTTGATGAGGCTGGAGGGAGCGATCTGTCCGCGGCAAAGCACAGGTTTGCCAGCTATATGAACCCGCTGGCCAAAATCAGCAAAAACATGGGCGCCATGATGCAAGTGTGCCATCAGATCGCCACCGTCAGATCTGATGACTCCAGTGGGAGTGCATGGGCGCACCGACTGATTGAAAATTTCTCGGGGAAGAAAGCAGTTGCCCTGGGACTGCTCGCCGATGCTGCTTGTACCTGCCATGACCTGACCCGGTGGCTCGACTCTGAAGACGTCGATATATGCCAGGTGAACAGCCAGGTGCAATGCTTTGTAGCATCACTTCGGACCCTGTTTGGAGCCAAGAAGGTGTTGGAGCTGCCAACATACACAAAGCACATCGTGGAAGAGCTTACGCGTCGCCCCATCACCATTCTGCACGGCAGTCCTAGACAAGTTAGAATCTCTCAGACAGATATTGCAGAGGGCATGAAAATCTTGCAAGAGCCTTACCAGAGATTATAAAAACTGATTGTCGTCGTCATACGGTTACCACATAATATTCTTTTAAATATTTTAAATCGTCGTCAACTGAGGAACGGGCTGTCGTATCAGAGGCCGCTGTGGCCACTGAGTTCCCAAGCTGGGACGTCATCGCCAGCTTTGATGCGTTTTGTCTGCAGGGCGCAGGTGAGTCTGCGCAAGACCGACCGGAAGCCAAGACCAGCCTGGCTAAACTTGCCCAAGTGTTCCAAGTTAACTTAGGAAAATTGACACGACAATTTATTGCCTTCTTACCCATGGCCAGCGCGATTCAAAAGCAAGCTGGTCTGGACAACCGCGCAGCTTGGTCAGAAGCTTTGATTCGATCTCAAGGACGCAAGTTGATGCGAGACAAGTATCCCTGTGCTGAGCTGCGGAAGGCGAGATAATAAAAATTCGTATTTTTTTTCTGCAACCATTGCACTTAAGACTTGAACATGCCGCTGTTTGCCGCTGGGGCTGCCGCAGGTCATTTGCGCTTATTTAGCCTGGACGAACTCAAGCTCCGGAGTAGAGCAACTCTTTTCAAAACTTCAGAACAGCCCGACTGAGCAAGGAAACGCGAAATGTGATACCGATCGCCGCCTGGCGACTGTCATCGGAACTGTCAAAGATTCTGACGCAGAGGAGATTGTGCGTCGTGCCCGGGCGCTGTACGCAGACCTTTTGGTTTCCGGCCGGGCGCGGGCACCTAATAAACAACCCCGAGTGGACAAATGCGCCAGGAAGCAACCCCGCCCGTCTGAGAAGCAATGGGTTCGAGATCGCAGAAGCGCAGTGCTGTCGGCAGCCAATGACCTCCGCAGCAACCCAAGTGCAAACGCACACTGGTCAGCAGCAGCATCAGTGAACATGCCAGAGCCATTGCAGAAAGAACTTGCCAAGCAAGAGTCTCAGGCTGTTAAACGAAAGGCCGAGGCCTACCTTGATGGTTTGTTGCTGCCAATTAACCGAAGCAGACGGCAAGGTTCTCTCGGCAGCAGCTGCCAAATTGAAAACGGATGCAGCCAACGATGCGGCGCGGAGAAAGAAGTTTCAGGAGGTGACCACGGCCACCAAATTGAAGACACAGAAACAGTCCATTGCTTGGGCAATGAAATCCCTGCAGTCTCCAGTCTATTTTGCCGGTGCCAGTCCTACAGAGGTTGCCAAATGGACCAAGAAGCTGGCTGACCGTGGAATCACCAACGTGACGCAGGACATTTGAATCTTGATTCATCTAACTTTTAACTTTAACTGCTAAATACTATTTAATATTAATTATTCTTCCCTGCAGGACTTGAAGCAGGCACAGATGATTGTAATCAAGGACATCGATCACTTTGCTCAGAAGTACCGCGCTTTCTCTGCCCTGATGGGGGCAGTTGTATTGAGTGGTCCAATCCTGGATGGGCAGGGCGGGCTGAAACTCAGCCACAAACCTGGCTTCAAATTCGGTGTCTCAGTGTACGCGACCAACAATTTTAAGAAAGAGCAACCGGGTTTGACATTGTTGGTTCGCGAGGCATGTGCGCGTGGAAGCGCCCAGGGTGACAGTGGTTGGAAGGCGGTTTCATTGGAAGACGCTGCCAAGAACAAAAGAGGCAAAAGAACCGTACCAATCATCCTTCACGGCAAGGATGAAACAGTCCAAGTGCAAGGCGCAAGTAAGAAGTGCAGGCTGATGACAGGGGGCGCTTTTACGACATGGGTGGCCAAACTGTACATTGACCATCAAGCCAGCGCCTGGATCAAAGGATCGAATCCGTAGGCAACGGGGTGTCTGAACCCGGCTCCTGGGAGAGACGGAACTGGGCTTGAAAATAATGTTTGCCTAAACTGTGTAATGTGACAACTTGAAGACCTTGTTTTTTCAGATTCGCTGTGCCAGGACTGCAGCCATGCCGCGGCTCAAAGTCTTGAAATCCTTTGCGAAGCCCAAGGCTAGAAGCGTTTCTGCACAAGACAGAGACAAATTGATTGCCAGCATCAACGCCCTCACCACTAATTGGAGGCAGCGCTTGAAACCATGGCCAAAGCCTTCGTCGCTACAACCAATCAGGTTGATATCTGACTGCGCCGGATATGGCTCCGACCTGATTGCTTTGCGGCTGCTAGGATTACGCGCCAGGGTTCAATGCGTCATGATGTCTGAGTGCAACCCTGCAAAGGTGCATCTGCACCAAGCAGTTGAAGAAGTATGTGGCTTCGATGCAGCCCAGCTCGAACATGTCTCTGACATGTCTTTGCGAGATAACTCGACAGCACCGTCTGTGGAACTTTATGTGGCCGGATACCCCTGCCCATCATTTTCCAGGCTGGGAAAACAGAAGGGCACCCAAGACAGCAGAGGGATGATCACCATCCATGGACTTGCATTCATAGCCAAAACTCGCCCGCTCATGGTGGTCTTAGAGCAAGTCTCTTCCCTTTTGCATCGCAAGCACAAGAGGGTGTGGGAGTTCTTACAGAAAACCTTGAGGCTTTTGGACTACAAGTATGTCTACCAAACCTTGAACACAAGGCAATTTGGAGTGCCGCAGTCACGCCCACGGGTGTATGTGTTGGCGGTTGCCGCAGAATGCTGTTTGCAGGAACAGTTGCAGATGCCTGTGGAGAGAAAGCAGCACCCTGATTTGCACACCTTCTTAGACAAGGAGAAGTCGGGAACCGAAATCCTTTCCTTGCCCCACTATGAGAGGCAAGCCGGCCCGAATTTGTGGAAGAAGGGCTACGTGGTGGACATCAAGTCTTCAGATGCTTTCCAACATCTGATGAAGAACTGCTGCCCCTGCCTCACCTTCACTCGTTGCCGAGAGTTTGGCTATTACATTCCTAAGCTCAGACGACGCTTGAACACTTTCGAGTGCGCCCGCTTACAGGGCTTGCCAGATGCTGTTACGCAAGCGATGCTTGCATGTTGTCGGGAGGAATCCTTACCTGCAGGTACGGTGGAAGCGTCCATTGGAGATGCCATGAGCATCAACGTTTTGATGCTTGTTCTTCGCGCCGGATTGGACGCGACAGGGTTGAGTGCCCTGGGTAGGGGCAAGGACTACTGGATCAGATGCCCTGCCGACAGCTGTAGAAATTTGAGCAACAATTTATTTTCCAATAGCTTCAGGAAAGCTCGGCAGCTTTAAAATAGAAGATTTAAAGTCATTGTCATGTGTGTCATGTGCATTTGATTTAACTTTGATTCAACAAGCTGCTGAGCTCACTTTGCCGGGGTCCGGGTAAGGGGAGTGGAATGCCCACGTTTGACAACGTGGACCGGGTAAGGACAGTAGGAATTTCCCACTCCCCTTCTGCAGCGCCAGCCTAGGCTGGACCCGCAGAAGGATAGTAGGCGCCGCTGTAAGCATACTGTCCTTCTCACGTCGCCGCCCCTCTTAGAGCACGACCCACTCCCCTTCTGCAGTGCCAGACTAGGCTGGACCCGCAGAAGGGGAGTGGGAAAGTCCCACTCCCCTTCTGCACTCAGTACTACGGGGACCAAATCCCAGACCGGGCTGGCATCGCATAAGCCCGGTGACGTTTTGCGGTTGCGACGTTTTGTGGTTGCAAAGGGTGTGTCTTAAACATGACATAACATCTTTTTAACTTATTAAAGTAAAAAGATGTTATGCCAAGTTTCAAGTGTTCATGTCAGACATTGCTATGTAACAACAAGTTTTTTAACTCTGATGTTCATTGTCTGTCACGCGTGCAGTGTTCGGGCTCCAGCGGCGAGGGTGAATGCGGGCGCCCTGGTGGTGGCGCGCTTTCTCGGTGCCTTGGCTTTCAATTTAATCTAACTTAATGCTGCGCTAGTCTTACTACACATTCATCTACTAACTGTCTGGACTACTACTACTTACTTGTTACCGAGTTCGGGTTCAGCACCTGTGGGTGCAGGCTTGCGGGCCTTGGGAACCTTCGGGTTCAGCGCCTGCGGGTGCAGCCTTGCGGGCCTAATGGGAACGTTCGGGTTCAGCACCTGCGGGTGCAGGCCCACGGGCCTTAAGTTCTGTCAGTCGTGACATTCAGGATTGAATTTACCGTCGTCTTTTTAATAGAGATTACTTTTCCCCGCCCCGTGCTCAGGTCATGGTGACTTCGGCAGCAGCTGCTGAGCCCAAGCAACGTGGCCGTTCTCCCGGTCCTCCTCGTGGCGATTCGCCTGGCCCTGGCGCTGCTCCGGCGGCAGAATCGGCTGCGGCGAGTCATCATGCCAGTCATGGCAAAGACGACGAACGCCGGGCGCAAGCTGCAGCTTCACCGTCGCCGCGCCAGGATTCTGACACGGCCAGCGACACACGCCGTGCCCGTGAGAAAGCCGACGAGGCTCACCACCGCACGCACGACTCCGATGAAGTCAAGCACGACTCCGATGAAGTCAAGCGACGGGGCCTCAAAGACCGTCGCCGTCGTCGTGACGACGAGACCGAGCTTGCCATGGCCCGGCGGGGACACAGGGACGACGACAACCAGGCGCGGGTGTCATGGCGTTCCAGGCAGGAGTCAGCTGGCATTGATTTATTCAAATTTTCTCGTCGTCGTTAGACTTAGATTCTATTTTTTTTATTAAGGTGACAGAGTCGTCGATTCAGTCTCAATGTCACTGAGGCACGTGGAGCCCCTGCCCGACGGCTCTGAGAAGGATGGGAGCCGGGAGCCACCACCGTCAGAGGTGTCGGTCGCGGACACCGAGTGTGAGATCTGCGGCCAGTGGAAAAATGGGAACTTCGGAGTCAAGCAACACCAGAGGTCCTCGAAACACTGTTTGAGGTACAAGTTCTGGAACAAGGGGTGGAGCTGGGAGGCAGCCTGCAAAAAAGCTCAGTCCGAGTGGAAAAAGCAGGCGGCCTCCTGGAATAACTGGATCCACCGCGACGACCACACACCTGACAATCGTCGCCGCCCAAAGTCACCGGAAATGGGCCCTGTCAGGGTGAAGTCCAAGTCCAGGACTCCGAGGCGCGACCGGGAATCGGTGGACAAAGGTGGTGGCCCGCCACTGTCACCGTCGATTTCCGTGTCCCCGCCGCCGGCCAAGGGCCGGGTGAGGGTGGCATCCCGCTCGTCGCCGCCTGCCAAGCAGCATCGTCGCGCTGCTCTTCACGACGGCGGTGATGACCGCGATCGCCGTCACGGCGGCAATGAAGGACAGACTCGCCAGTCGTCTGGCCGCAATGACCCCGGTGCTGCTCGTCGTCATCGTCCGACCGACGATCGGCGCGACAGGGATTACAATGCCGTCCATGTCAAGTCGCCTGACAACTACGGCCGTGAGGCGGAGGGGAAGCCCAATGCCAAGGTGAAGGACCGCAAGCCTGACCGCAAGCCGCCGCCCTCCAAGCCTGCGGCAGCATCAGCGGTCAAGGCTTCGGCCAACAACGCCGCCGAGTCAGGCAGTTACTACAGCAGTGACAGCAGCGACAGCTCGGGGGCTGACGCCGAGCAGCAGGACCCAGTGGCCACAGTGCCAGCGGCGAAGAAGGGCCCAGCCAGGGCCAAGACGCCGCCGCCGCCGAAAGCGTCAGCTGCAGCCCCGGCATCCAGCGACCTCAAACTCGCTGCGGTAGCTCGCTTTTACGAAAGCCAAGCGTTGTTTCTGAGGGGCCTGAGCGACGACCCGTGACCTGACCGCACGACGAGTCACGACCAGCGGCCGCTCAGCCGGAAATTGGCCTGTCAGTCTGTGGAACACTGCAGGCCCAGTTTGAAGTACTGACCCGCCGGACTTTGTAATGGCGGCTAAAAAATTGGCTTTCGTCATTCAATTCGTCGTCGTTGTCGTCGTCGCTTCAATCTCGTCGTTGTCGTCGATCAATTTTTTAATCGTCGGGCTCTGATTCTGATTCTGGTCTCCGCCGATTGCCGCTGTTGTTACACGGCTCAAATTGCATGTAGACTTGCGGGCTCATTGGGCAACGACGATTCGTCGTCAGGTGGCTGGCACTGGCACCCCTGGTGAACATGGCTGAGCCCATTAAAAACGTTTCAGCCTGGCGCCTCAACCAGGCTGAAAAAGATGAAGTCGCCAGGCGCACCCGGGCTGGCGAAGATGAGAAGACTGTTACCCGTGAGATCCAGTTGAAAAAAGCCGAGGCTTCTCGTGACAGGAAAGCTGCTGCCCAGGCTGTTGCTGACCGAGCCAAGCAGCAGGACATGGCAGCTAAGTTGGCCAAGGGAAAAGCTGGCCAGAAAAAAGCAGGGGCCCCAGAATTTGTTCAGACAGTGTCGTCTGATGATGCGACCAACAAAAGTTACTACACAGATGTGCAAGCCGACTGCGAAGTCATATTAGCAGAGTATGGCAAAGACTTTCAGCAGGCCAAGCCATTGTCACTTGGCAATGACGTAACCGGCCAAGACACAGGAGTGCAAGATGCGTTCAGCAAGGCGAAAGCTGCCCAGTCCCTACAGGCACATTCTGGATGCTCAACTTGCTGACTTCAGCAACACCATCCATTCCGCTGTCTCGGCGGCGCGTGGTGGAGCTTTGCGAATTCCACTACGGCCCCTGCGGGGAGCCAAAATTTATAACTGACAGAAACATTGAATGCGGCATTTCTGAGGGGGAATTGGCCACAGACTCGCCTCCCGGGCTACTCATGATTTCTCCCGAGGAGATTGCGCACTCGGTTCTGGCAGGGTGTGCTCGGGCCATCAAGCTTGGCACTTATTATATACAAACTCGCCAATGAGTGACTGAATGAATCAATTTAACTGACTTTAGCGTCTATCTTTGAAATAGTTAAATTCAATTGCCAGGTCTCGCCCACTTGACGATGAGGACAAGTGGAAAGCCAAACGTGAGAAATGGAGATGCATTCTCCTCAGCATCCCGTGCAGCTTCACAGTGGTGGCTCAGTCTGACATTTGGTGGAAGAGCTTCAACCGCCGGCAGGCCCTCCAGCAGGAACACGAATCGCTCAGCCGCACAGCGGTACAATACAGCATGGAGATCGCTGCAATGAAAAACATTGCCGAGGCTCAGTGCGGAAAAAAACTGACGGCTTCCGCTCTTTCAACGGAACTGCTTCGCTTGGGACTGCAGCCCATCGTGGCAGGCAATAAAGGCCCTGGACAGGACGACGAAGACTCAGGCAATGGTTGCCTGAGCGCCAACTTCATCACAGCTGCGCTGAATTGCCAGAAATGGGTTGTGGCAGACCCAGCCTGCATGGAGATGCTGCTGGAATTGGAAGCAGGCTACGGCACAAAATCACCTTTTCACCGGATGACTGTTCTGAACTGTCTGGCCATGAAGGCGACGAGCGCCAGCAGCAGGCAGTGGTCCTTAGCCACAATTTGTGATTGGATAGCGCACGGGTTGCTGAAGTGTTCAGACGTGACGAAAGCAACGCTGGTTGGCGATAAACATCACACGGGCCTCATACCCCTCTACGAGACCAAGTTGAAGGCTCTTTCAGTGAAATTGGTGTAATAATTTGACATTGAATTGTCCAGCCACTGACTTCAACTCAACACAGAAGCTCGCAGGTGATGGGCGCTTTTTTCGATGATTTCTTGCCAAAAGCCGGTCTCCGCGACGAAGATAGGAAGCAGCTGAAGACAGCCCTCAGCTCCCATTCAGCCTACCGGGCGCATAGTGCTGGGACAGGCGACTGCAGTTGGCAAGCGTCCCTGCTTAAGTCCGGCATCCTGACCTTCGAGCTGATCGAGGACGCTGGAGTGGATATATTGAAATTTTACAATATTTTTGTAATATAATAAATATTAATCTGGCCCTGGCAGGAGCTTGTGTATACAAGACAGCATGACCACACGCTGAAGCAAGCGGCCAAACAGGGCGCAGTTGAGGCGGTCATGGAGCATGACAATATCAAAGTCAAATGGGAGAAAATAGGAGCACAAATTGCCAACGAACTGGCTGAAAAGCAAGCTCTGACAGCTGTGGCGGGTGAGGGTTCGGCCGACGAGGAGGAAGAAGAGACTGTGGTCATCCGCAAGTCCCCGAACTCGTTCACATTGCATTCGGCGCCGTACTGGCGCGCGGTGGGGAATGCCACCGTCCGCACGTACATTACACTGTGCCCAGAGCCCAAAACCCTGGCGGCTGTGGCAAGCGCGGTCAGTCAATCGAACTTGAAGTCGGTCCGAGGCAACTCTGGGGAAAGCTGCGTGCTTTGCTTGCTGGACTTGGACCTACTAGGTGAAACCTTGGGACCGGCATGCCAGGCAGGGCTGAGGCGGCAATTCCAACCGACTCCGGGACTGTTGTCCAAGCTTGTGCGCAGCGCCATGGTAGGGCGAGGGTCTCAAAAAGTCAACGATGCAGGTGAAGCCTCCGCTGTCGTTGAAGGGGACGTGATGATCCTTCACGTCGGTGTTGGCCGAGGCAGCAAAAAAGAGCTCAAGGCGCTGTTCAGCCCGACTCTCGGAAGCGGCAAGCAGCAGAGAACAGACTCCGAACTGAAGGAATCTGTCATTGTGTTCAAGGATGACAGCTTGCGCGCCCGGAAAAAGCGGGTCAAAGGAAGCTACACGGCTCATTCTTTGCTTCTCACAGCCAGCTCATCCATCCTGTCCCACTCCGTCCCTGAGAAGACTTACAATTTTCACCCTGGAAGCTGCTGGTCTGATGTCATCTCAGAGGTGGAAGCACTGTCAGCCAGCGAGCTGTGGCACACGACCAGGACTGTCGATTCCATGACTCTGACTGTGGTGTGATAATATATAGACATAATTAACTCATCCTTTGTCAACCAGGACCGAGAAAGAGGAGATCCTGGGAAAGGATCGACTTGTGGATGTCACAGCCGAGGCGAAAGAGAAGAAGCCCGGGCAAGGCGACGGAGGGGCAATGCTGGAATCTGTTTTCAGCGCGGCAATCTTTTCAGACAATTTTTATCGTGACCTCTTCAAAGGGCATTCCGCAAAGGCTGTGTCACTAATCTTGCATTGGCATGTTGTCAGTTTTTGTTGATGATACTTTTTGAAATTGTAAGAATTTAACTAATCTCCTGCTATTATTCTTCGTGCCGTGAAGCAGTGAGGCTGGATTTGAGTGCCGGCCAGGGGGCGGCAGCCAGAGCCGCTCTTTTGGAGCGGGTCCCTTACTTCGCATTGACCCACAGCGAGGCTCACAGCAAAAAGCTTGAGGTTGACCTGACAGATTTCATCGTGTCTGAGATGAAAAAGGAGGGTTCCACCCATTACAGACCAGAAGCCTGCCAAGAGCCAGCTGAGGCTGGACAGTCGCAGCCAGCGCCCAAGGGCAAAGCGAAGAACAAACGCCCCAACACAGAGGGCGGGGACACCAAGCCTAAAAAGCCGAAGCCCGAGCCGACCAATGCCTCCGCTGAACCCAAGTCAAAGGGAAAAACAAAGAATCAGAAGGCAGAAGATGCCGCAGCGGGCGGCGAGGATGGGGGCGCCGGCAACGGCGATGAAGAAGAAGAAGAGCCCCCCTGGTGAAAATAGCTTTCCGTCCCAATGAGGGCAAATTTTGAAGTGGCCAAATTTTTGCACTGGCAGTCACTGCTCCGAACAGTTGGGCTATAGGCAGCACTGAGCGTTCACATTGCAGCTGTGGGGTTTGAGGCGAACTGATTTATTTTGTTTGGGTCATCCACTGCGCCACTAAAGATATAACCTGGATTCTGAATCAGAGGAAATAAAATGTCTAGCTCAAATAATGAACGGGAAACCCTCACAGATGGGCAGTTGCGCTCCAATACGTCTTCTGAGATTCGCTCGGCGTAGAAAAGTGTTGTGAATGCCCTCAGGAATCAGTGACTATAAATCAAGCAGCGCTGAATTGTGACATGGCTTGGAGGCATTTTGGCCCCAGGTTTTATTATTAACAGTTAAGTTGAGGGCGGGGCGATGAAGTGCGACTTGTGTTGGAAACACGGACCGCCGGTGTCGTGGGACCGTGGAGCAGCTCCTGCAATCCCATCCACCAAAGAAGGCCTCTTGACAAGTTTGCAGGCGCATGGGGCAGCTGATGTGGGCGGATTGAACAAAATAGAACTTCGCCACCATTTCTGCTCCTTGATCAGGGGGCGCCAAAGCCCTTCAGATCCTACGAAGGGCATGTCCAACGTGACCAAAGCCAGCCTCGAAGTTCGTCTGAAAGAACATGGCATTGATGGCGCCGAGTCCGAGAGTCGACGAACCCGCGGGTCTTTAATGGCTGCCTTGCGCGAACATTGGCTAGAACAATGCCGCCTGGCTGAGGCTGGCGACACTCAGACCGCCCCTGACGAGCCTACGGCTCAACAAGAGTGGGAGTTGGTGAGTGGGGCAGATGCTGCTGTAAAGCAGGTCGCAATTGCGCAGGTGCAAGACGCTATGGAACAGGTGAGAGAAGCCAGCGCTGCATTGCATGAATTAATGATGGGAACAGATCCCTCAGTGCAGGCATGCATTGCCGACAATGTGAATGCCCTCAATAATTTTTGCAGGTCTATGGACAGGCTCATCGGACAGAAAGCTTCCGACTAATTTGTAATTTGACTGCTGCAGCGCGACCTCGGCATAGAAAAAGCACGGTTCTGTCGTCGGCTTCATTAGTAAGACTTAATTTTTTTAGCCTGCCGGCGGTTGAAGCCCCTGCTGGAGGGCCTGCCTCAATTTATTGTATAATAAGACGAACCCTTCTCTGAATCGCCACAGAAGCCACAAACTATTAACTTGAAAAACTCAGAGTCAAAGCAGCAAACTGCTTCTGCTGGGCTGGCCAGTCTGAACCAACCACAGAGCAACCAGGCAACGTAATAAAGCTACAACATCAGTGGCAACAAACCCTGACAGAGCACAACAGTGCAACCATGCAACAACACAACGGTCAGACCATGCGCCGCGTGACAAAGTTGAGCTCAGCCGGCCAGTCTGAGTCATTAATAAACACTAAGCTGCGCAACCAGGCACTTGCCAGGGTATAAATTAAATGTCCTGATGTTAGTTCAATCAATCCAATCCCCAGGAAAAAAACAAAACCGCGCAACCGCGCAACGACAAAACATCACCCAGTAATATAATATACTCTCATGAACAATGCATGCAATATGCCTGCAAAAAAGCACTCTGCTTTTCTCCTTTTCGAAAAGAACGTCCAACGGCATTGTTAAATTCAAAGGCTTCCAGGTGAACGTCCAACGCCCGCGCGCGTGGAAACGCGCGCGGAGGATGCCCGTGGTTTTCTTGACCCTTCGAGCAACGGAAAGAAACCAGGAACAGGCATCCAAAAAGCAAAGAAAACGCTGAAGGAACACCCAAACCAGAAGAAACCTATTCATGAATCTCCTCTTTAAACAACTTCTTTGCAAAGGTTGCGTCAAAGGAACTCGAAAGGAGTTCCTTTTGTGAAATCAAAGCCTACGGATGGCACTCATCACGCCCAGACTGCTCAGACCCCTCGGAGACCCCTCGGAGAGACCAACATGGTTATAGCCTGGCTTGGGATCCATCTTTCATGATCTGCCGATGCCCGCCTGTGTGGCGTCTTGCTCTGCTCCAGCCAGCTTGGCCAAGGAAAGCTCGTCGCCCCACTCCTCGCTCGTACGAACACAAAACCCAAAGGCCCGGCCCGGGAACTGAAGTGCTATGATGCCTTGCCCCTGAAATCTTTGCAGCCAACTGGGGAGGGACCGTCCTGGAAGATGTGGCGCAACTCGCCCGAGCTGAACGCTGCGTTGCGACAGAGGCACTGAAGTCGACAGCTTTCCAAGGGCCCCAGGGGCGTCATCAACAGACCTGAATTCCGGTTTCGGCGAAGATGGCACATTCATGGCTGCGCAGGAGAAACAACTCACTCTGCGTATGTTTTGGAGCAGTTCAGGTTGTATAGTGAAAAAGCAAACAACATCAAACAATCAAAAACAGCGACCAAGGATTCTGGACAAGAGTTCGTGCTCAAATGATCCAACATGACTTGGGGATTGGAGGACAACACCATGATGAAACCTTTACATGGCTCCTCATTTGGAAGAGGAAAGCGACCAAAGGAAGAGTTCGGCGCACTTGGAGTCCTCATTTTGAGGTCCATGCAGATCCCATTGAGTGATTCACACACACCCCTCTTCTCATCTGATACTATTCATCTATAATTTTTAATCCTGGCAACTCCCACTGAACGGCGACTTCGCGCCGCATAAAAGAAACACCGTGAAACACCGTGTGAAACACCTGTATACACTCCCTGAAGATCACCGTGGTTCCGTGGATGGCATGGCCGACCATCGGACCACATTCTCGATTCGAGGTCCCGGAGGTCCGTCCCAGGTGGTTTTCGATGATGTCCTGGGGAAGTCAAGACATCTGCCAAAAGGCTCAGGACTTCCACCAAGGTCACCTCCAGCTTCGCCTCCGAAGACGGCCTCTCCGGACCCCGGTCACCGTCTTCGGCATCGTCAGCTTCGCGCGACGGCGGAGCGCGCAGCCAGTGCTGGTACAGCAGAGTACCCAGCAAGAGGGCTGCTGTCAGGGCAAGCCATGGGCGCTGATCGTCCATGGAAATCTAACTGTTTCTTCAAGCAAACGCCCCCCACATGCCTCGTCCGAACGCATGATGAAAAGGAAGTCTCAAATGATAGTTCTCCGGTCCGGTCTTCTAGCTTCATGGGCCTAAGGCCTAAGGAAAAGAGATCAGCTTGAGGTTTCACTAGTGCTCCCAACAAAATCGTGAACTGACACTCAGCTTGAAGTTAGCGGCCTGCACTGCCCTCAAGGGAAAGTGGAGTTGTTTTTCCGTCTGCACAGAGGGACTTGCTACAATGTTGTAAGAAGGTGTAAAGGAAATTCAGGTTTCTGTGGGTTTGGCAGTTCTTTCTCCACGTGGGTGCAAAGGAATTCCTGTGAACCACCAGCTGTTTGCCTCTTCGTCAGTACGGTGCATATGATTTTTCAATGATTTGATGGATGGCACCGATGCACCGATGTCATCAGCTTCGATCTCTCGATCTATCTGAGCCGCACGTCGCTGATGAACAAGAGTTCATTTTGTGGCCGACATGTCGGAGAGCGGCTCGTTTCGGGAACAGAGCCCAACCGAAGAATCTCCAGTCGAGCCGGTTTTTCAAGGACTTCACTGGATCGACACACTATAGTGGCATTGCCATATTACACTACTCAACCCGGTGTCCTGGAGCGTTTGACTATCCTTGTAGAAGATTTGGTTCCTTGTTCATGAATTACAAGAAGCGTTTGACAATCCTTGTAAAATCTTTTGTAGAAGATTGAATTGATTTGCTGAGATTTTTGCTAAGAGAAATAATGTCAAACATCGCTGAAGGATGCTGAAGGATGTCCAACGTGTGTGACCAACCCATCCTCCCATGCTTCATCGAAAGGATACCACGCGCGAAAACATCACCATGCAGAGAAAAGGAAAACTCCAAATCCTTCAGCAAGCAAACCAAGGGTCTGTGAGATGAGAGTTGATGAGTAAAAAAAGAAAACAGGCACGCTTGCCTTGTGCAACAATTGGTCTCCCAATGTCCCCTACACCTCCTCGACGCAGTGTTTCTGCATTGCGATTCCGGATTCTTGATCATCATATGATATATGGACTCCTTTTCACAGAATTCTGGGACTTGGAGAACCCACAGCAGCCTGCAAGGTGCTTTCGATCCTTAAAGCATCGATGGGAACACCATTGAACATGATTGAATATTGCGAACGGATGGAAAGGTGTGCCCTGGCCCCGTTCTAGCTCTTAGG